CGGTGGTAGAAAGTGGATCTGAAGGGGCAAACAGAAGACATCTTCACACATGCTGACATTATAAAATCGAGAATTCATTTTTTTCTTGTTATTATATTCACTGGTGGGAAGTATTCACAAAACAGAATTGAAGCTTTACAAACATGCACTAGACAAAATCCTTATAGTAATTTTAAAGCTACTTTTTCCACAGTGGGAAAGAAGATCATAGCTTAAATTCCCTGTTCTTCTTTTTTTTTCTTAAGTTTTTTTAAGCTATATCAGTGCTAGAGACATATTCCTAAATCTCGTTATGCCTGGGTGCCACCCTCTAAAAATGCTCTCTCAGCCCTGAGCTTCCCCAAGTTCCACTGAGTGCTTGCTTTGGTCATTCACTCACTCTTCATTCAACAAATATTTATGGAGAGACTCCAATATCCTAGTATTGTGCTGGGCTTTGGGTAAAAAAGTAGTTAAGTAGAATAGACACAGTCTCCACTGTGAATATGAGAATGTTTTTCAAAACTTATAGTTTAGTAGATAAATGTTTCAAAGGGTGTAAAGAAAGATTTAAATAGTTTAGTAAGTCTGTATTCATAAAGGTATCCATCAAGCACAACAAAACCATATGATCACTAAATGTCCAATATAATATTTAAACATTAAAATTTGAGAATTCACAGAGCAGCCATATCTGTGCTAAAGAGTCATAGACATTTTAGGCAGCATATTTATAAAAGAAGGATTTTTATCTTAAATTTTAAAATGTTCAGTTCTGGAAAAGCTTATCCCAATGCGACTTGTGAGACAAGGCAGAAGTGGCTGCCAGGATCTAGAAAGTGCCGTCCAATATAGTAGCCAAAGAACAGTCTGCTATAATAGAAATGTTCTATTCTGCACTGTCCAATATATTGGGTACTAATAACCATCGGTTATGGTGGCTGTTACACACCTGGAGTGTCGCTAATGAGACTGAGGAACTGAGTTTAAAATTTTGCTTAATTTTAATTAATTTAAATTTAAATAGCCACATGTGGCTACAGTAGGACAGTGAAGATCTAGATGCGTGCGGTGGGGCTTGCTAAGTACAAGTTGGTTCGTTTAACCTCATTTCCCTTTTCTACAGGGTTAATAACAGTTATTCATTACTCATACAACATCATGTGCCCAGAAGAGTGTCAAATAGAGAGAAAATCAAAGATAGGTTATGTGTAAATAACAAATGTTGACAAGCAGGTGGAAAATTTGGAACTATGTGCATTGCTGCTGTGAATGTAAAGTGGTGCAGCTTCTGTGGAAAACAGTATGAAGGGCCCACAAAAAATCACACATAGGATTACCATATAACCCAGCAATTCCACTTCTGGGTATATAACCCTAGAAAAATGAAAGCAGAGACTGAAAGAGGAAAATGATTCAGCTTTAAGAAGGAAGAAGATTCTGACATATGCTATAAAATGTATAAATCTTGAAGCCGTTACGCCGAGTGAAATAAGCCAGTTACAAAAGGATAAATAGTGTATGATTCTACTTATTTCAGGTATCTAGAGCAGTCAAATTCAGAGACAGAAAGTAGAATGGTAGCTGCCAGGGGCTGGGAAGAAGGGGAATAGGAGTTAGTGTTTAACGGGTACAGGGTTGTCAGTTGAGGAAGACGAAAAAGTTCCGGAAGTGGATGGTGATGTTTGCACAGCAGTGTGAATGTACTTAATGCAACTGAACTTCATAAAATGGCTACAAAGCTAAATTTTATGTCACATATATTTTATCACAATTTTTAAGATAGGTTAATCACATGTAATTTGAAAACTTGCATAGAAAAGATAAACGGCAGTTTGTGATTGCTCCGTGGACTGGGGATATAACGTGACTATTTACAGATGACCTTCCAACCCTGAGATTCAGTGGGTTTATGAGCCCTTCAGATGAGGGATGGCAGTGGTACACAAGATGATGTATACCGTCTGCAGGGGGTGAGCCTTTATGTGGCGGCTATGCCCCTCTTCAAGTGCTTGCCTTGCTTTATCCTGACTTTACCCTAAAGTCCTCATGGCTCAAAAAACACAGAGCCAACTCTCCAGAAAAATGTCTGAAACATAGAAGACCTGTCTGAGAGGCTGGCCAGGGTAGTCAGGTCAGTTGCAGAGAACCCAGGTCAGTCTAGACCTTGCCATTATCAATATCTGTATCCCTTCGTAGTCTGTTCTCTGAAAAGCATCTTGTATTTTTTCCAGCTGAATCTCTCTAATCCCACAACTACAGAATTTCTTGACACCTTGGAACCTCCAATCCACTAATCTAATACCTTTTTACTTGCCCTCAACACCATCATTCATGTCCTCTCTTCTCTCCTTACTAGGTTTAGATGCCGTGGCCCTCCAGTACCATCATTCTGTGCATAGAACCCTCAACACTCTCATTCCTCTCTCCTGCATCATATTCGCCTGGCAGCTCCAAACTCTGGTTATATCTGGAACTCTGCCTGGTTTTATTTGGTGCCCAAGCAGGCAAAAGAGGCTCATGAAAACACACATCTATATAAACTGGCCTCCCTTTCTATTCATGATCTCTGACTTCAAATGAACCCTTAGTACCACTCACAATCTGTCTATATTTTCAAGGTCCATTTGCTCTCTCCCTGTCCTGAGATGCTACTTCCTATTTTCTCCTCTCTTCTCAAATTTCCTCTTATTCCTCACTTTCAACCGATGGCCTTGCTTCCTCACTGATAATAAATGTTTCCTCATTTACCAGAATCTGATGCCCATACATTCTGCCGCCATCAGGGAAGAACACCATTTTCTCCTACTTAACCCCAGCTTTCCGTTTGTGCACCAGATCCCCTTTCCGCATCTACTCAAGAGCATTGCTCCAGCAATTATCCCTTTTCTCTTCTGCATTGCCATTTTTTTCCCCTTCCCTTTTGGCTCATGCCCATTAGCATATAAATACATGTACTTATAATTAAAAAAAAAATTCTCCCTTGACCATATATTTCCTTCCAGCCACTGCCTCATTTCTCAGTCTCCATTTATTCTTTTATTCTCTCTGGGCCCACTCCACAGAGGCTTTGGTCACCATACACCACCATACACTTACCAAGTTCGCCACTGACCTTCCATATGGCCAAGCCCATCGCTCAGTTTTCAGTCCTAATTTCACCCACTTTAGCACTTTAGCAGCATTTGATAGAGTTGACCACACTTGAAAGATATTTTCATTTGGCTTCTGGAACACCAACCTTTGTCAGTTTCCCTCCTTTCTTGTTCTTCATCTTCCTGATCTCTGAACTCTGGAGAGCCCCAGGACTTAGACATCAGACATCTAAATACTACCTGCCCACTATCTAAGTGCTAAAGGCATCCAGATTGAAACCAGCATCCCAGACTCACCTATCCAACTGCCTCCTTGACAACTTAATACCTCCAAACGCAAAGTGTTCAAAAATGGTATTCTTAATCCCCAGCAATCCTCCCCTCCCCTCCTTCAACCCACACAACTTGCTGCCCAGGTAGTCTCGCCCATCTCAGCATAAGGAATCTCCTTTCTTCTAGTTGCTCCAAGTAAAAACTTTGACTGGTCCTCTTTCTCTCTCATACCCTACATCCAGTTAGTCAGCCAGTCCTGTCAGCCCCTCCTTGGGAACATATCCAGAACCCGCCCAGTTCTTACCAGCTCCACTGCCATGGCTTTTGGTCAATCAGGGTTTTCCAGAAAAATAGAATCAATAGGAGATATCTATCTATCTATCTATATCGAGAGATTGAGATTTATTATAAGGAATTGGCTCACATGATTATGGAGAATGAGAAGTCCCAAGATCTGCAGGTGGCAAGCTGGAGACCCAGGAAAGTTGGTGGTATAATTCCAGTCTGAGTCCGAGGGCCTGAGAGGCAGGAGAGCAAAGGATGTAAGTTTCAGTTTGAGGTCAAGTCTGAAGTCTGAAGAAAACTGATGTCTCAGCTCAAAGACAGTCAGGCCTAGGGAAAACCAATTCTTCCTTACCCTATCTTTTGTTCTATTCAAGCCTTCAACAGATTGGATGAGGCCCATCCATACTGGGGAGGGTAGTCTGCTTTATCCAATCTATAGATTCAAATGTTAATCTTACCCAGAAACACCCTCATAGACATATCCAGAACAATGTTTAACCAAATACCTGGGCAACCTATGGCCCAGCCAAGTTAACACATAAAATTAACCATCACAGCTTCCTAACTGGCTGGCCTACTTCCATTCTTGTCCCTTAATCCATCCTCAACACCACAGTGGGTTAATAAAAAGAAAAAAAGGCCACATCAAGGTCACTCCTGTGTTAAAAATTTCTGTGTCTTTCCTTCTTAATCAAAGTAAAACTTAAAAACCATCATGACCACCAAGGCCCTACATGGTCTATTCCCTACCCTTAGCCCCACCACCCATCACTCTTATCCCACTCCTTTTGTTCCACCCACACTGATATTACTCCAAGAAGCCAAGCAGGCTCCTGCCTCAGGGCCTTTACATCTGCATATCCCTGGGCGTGAAATGGGCTTAACCCAAATATCTAGGTTGTTTCCTCCCTCAACTGTTTTATCTTAGAGGCCTTTGCAATAAACCTACTTTCTTCAGTTTATTATAGCTCTACTCATCTCTCTTATTTTGCTTTACTTTTAAAATAAACTTTAGTTTCTAGAGTGCTTTTAGATTTTTTTATGGTATATTATCATAACCAATGAACCAATCTTGTTACTTTATTACTAAAGAAAGTACATACTTTATTCAGATTTTCTTAGTTTTTTTGTTTGTGGGGTTTTTTGTTTTTTGGTTAGATTTCCCGAGTTTTTACTTAAAGGCTTTCTTCTGTCTCGGGATCCCATCCAGGACACCACATACATTTAGTTGTCATTTCTCCTTAGAGTCCTCTGGGCTGTGGCAGTTTTTCAGATTTTTGTTTGTTTTTGCCAACACTGACAACTTTGAGAAATACTGGTCAGGTATTTTGCAGGATGTCTCACTATTGGAATTTGTCTGATGTTTTTCTCACAAGATTGGGGTTATGGGTTTTTGGGAGGAAGACTACAGAGGTCAAGTGCCATTTTCATCATATCATATGAAGAGCACATACTATCAATATGATTTTTGACTCTTAATATTGACCTCGATCACCTGGCTGAGGTGGTGTTTTTCAGATGTCTCCAATGTAAAGTTACTCTTTTCCCTCCTTTTCCATATTGTACTTTTTGGGAGAAAGTCACTATAAGCAGCTTATACCTAAAGGAGTGGAAAGTTAGGCTTCTCCTCTTTGAGGATGTAGTATCCTCATAAGCTATTGGGAATTCTTCCGAAGGAGAACTTTATCTCTTTGGCATTTATGTATTCAACTATTTATATCACTATTAATTCACAGATTTTTTTTTTAACTTTGGGTTGTAATCTAATACTACTTTATTCTGCTGTTCAAATCGTTCCAGCTTTGGCGTTGGGAGCTCTTTCAGCTGGCTCCTGCATGTCTGACATTTTCCATCAGTGTAGGCCTCTCTCCTCCCCATCTTTTTTGAGCGTGGCCTAACTTTTTTCAAGATACTTACCACTGTCCTCACAGGATATACACTTTATCTATTTAACTTTCCTCACTGGAATGCCAGGTCCCTGAGGGCAATGTCTTGGCGGTGTTTTTGACCACGCAGTATCCTCAGCTCTTGTGCGGGCGCTGGACTGGTACTGGATGAATGAATGAATGAATGAACAGGTCTGGTGTTTAAAACTCACTGGAAAGGGGTGAGTTCGGGTTCTGGGAAAGCCTCGGTGTGACCCGCAGCCTCCTGGCCGGCCGCCTACAGGGTCGCGCGACAGGTGCAGGGCCGGCCGTAGCTTCTCACAGTTACCACCTCAGAACGGCGGGAAACGCACGGGCCCGGCCCGCGAACGTCACAGGCACGGTGGGGATCCCCGGGGAAAGTCCGGCGCCTTTGGGCGCGGGTTCGGGGCGCGGTGGGGCGCCAAGGGGGAGGCGGTCGGGGGAGGGGGGATGGTGCCTTGGGCCGCGCGCTCTGCGGCTAGTCGGCGCCCCGCCCCCGCCCCCGGGTCCAAGAGCACCCGGGGGCACACAGGAGAGGAAGGAGGCTGGAGCCGGGCTCCCCGCCGTCCAGAGCGCAGGGACTCCCGGGAGGGGCGCGGGAAGGGGGCTGGGCTCGTGGGGAGCCGGCGCCGTCGCACAGGGGCGGGGCCTGGTCCCCTGCTGCGGGCGCTTCCGACGCCCGAGGGGGCTGGGCCGGCGGCACCCAGATGCGGCTGCGGCGGCGCGGAGGTCGGGCGGCCGCCGAGGAGCCGCGGGAGGCGCCGGGAGCCCAGCCGCCGGGAGCCGCGCCACAGGTTTCCTTCCCCGCCCGGTGCCCACGCGGGACAGGCGCTTTCAGGAGAGGGCTTCTCGGTTCGCACGCTCCGTCCGGTTCCTGGTTCGTGTTTCTCACCCTGGGTCTCTTTTTCTCTCCTTCACCCACCTGGGCGCGGGGATGCCCCGCGCAGGCTGTGCGCGGAGAGCTGCGGGGATGCGGCGGCGGGGTGGACTCTGTCGCTCGGGGACCCGAGGGATGCCTCGGGGGGATGTCGGGTCTCACTTCGCCTCTCGGCCCCTCGGGGAGCACGGCTTTTGGGTTTCTAATTCAGAGAGGAGTGATTGTTTTTTCTTCTAGGCTTTCATTGAAATGATTTCAGAGATAACCTGTTGACAGGCTTCCCTTATACAGTATCCACCTAAGACTACTTTTGAGACGAAAGGCTAATTTTTTTTAATTAGTGGAGGCATTACTTCGGTTTGATCACTTGTTCACTTCCTATTGGGTTGCACTTTCTCAAAAATACCAGAATGGGTACTTTTTGACTTGAACTTGACAGTGTGACTCAGGAGCCAGGAAATACGGAGAAATTGATACCGCCTTGAAACAGCCCCTTCCAAGCCCACATGTCTTTTTTTTTTTTGAAGTGTGGAGACAAGAAGTGGCAGCGCCTACGAGCACCACACCATCCCAAGAAGGAATTCTAGGCTCGACAGTAGCCGAGACCTGTCTTACTTCCTGTGGTTCTCACGCGCTTGTTTAAGCCGTTTCTCAGCAAAGGGAGGAGCTGTTATTTCCACACGGGTATCCAAAAATGAGTCACAGAGCTGCTCTCTTAATTGTGAGACTTTGTTAATGAACTTCTGAAAAGTGAGGTTTGCTCTGGCTGTATTTAAAATAAGATTAAGATGTGACATGCAGGCGCTGCTGAGCTGGGGCTGGTGGTATAGGAAGTAGCAGTTTAAAGTTTTCACTTTCCAAAAGCGCCTGATGGTACAGCGCACCAGCTAGGGTCACTAGGCTGATGTAAGATAACCATTTAAATCATGTGCTTTGCCACAGAGACTCAAGAGAAAATTAGTTTCATTATTCCATAACTGGTTTGTTACTATTTTTACTGGGATGGTGTGATAGAAATGTCATTCATGTTACATAGTGATTGTCACGGAATCAGAATCTTTTGGACAGTTTGTCTTTAGTAAATTAGTGCCACGTGAAAAGTTTTGTCATTAGTAAATGAGTGCCACAGGAAAAATTTTGAAGACTGTGGAT